TCTGACACAGTGACTCAGTGGCTGAGCTTGTTGATCAGAAGGTCAGCAGTTCAGCGGTTCGAATCGCTAGCGCCACATAGCAGCGTGAACTCCCATTACTTGCCCCAGCTTCTGCCAACCTAGCAGTTTAAAAGCAAGTAAAAAAAGCAAGTAGAAAAATAAGAACCACCTTTGGTGGGAAGATAACAGCGCTCCATGCACCTTCAGCATTTAGTCATGCCAGTCACATGACCATTGAGATGTCTTCGGAGAGCGCTGGCTCTTTGGCTTTGAAATGGAGTTGACCACTGTCCCTAGAGCTGGAAACGTCTTATCACGCATGTGGGGGGGAGCCCTTACCTTTAAGCATCTTAAGCCTAAGAGTATATTGTGAGTACCAGGATTGCATTAAGCATGCAGCATTTCATGTCCACTAAATGCACTCCCTATTACTTCCAGGTTTCCTCATTCAGCAGACAAATTTTGGTGCACAAAGTCCTTGAGGGTTTTTGTTATTATTGCTGCCGCTATCCTAACATCATCCAAAAATCTACCTTTTGGTTTTCATCTAGTTTTTGGTCTACTTTTGCAATGGAAAGTTAAATTGGCTATATATTTAGGCAGGTATGAAGACCTATTTCTTCTGGTTGCATTCACAGCTGTCCTCTCACCCTTGATTTTCTAGCTCTTGGACAGAGGACACCCGGGCACAAATTTTCTCAGACAATCTGAATGCCCAGGGTCTTTCCGAAGCCCCCTGGGAGAATCTGAAGAATAGTATGGAGGCTAAATTCAAGGAGTTTGAAGAGTTGGCAGCATCCGGGTGGGAGCTGATAGCTGAAAAGCATTATTTGAGTAAAACGGTAAGTGTGAAAGGCTAGGGATATAAATATTCCACCGGCTGTCAATGGGGATATCATTTAGGTAATTTAGGAATTGGTATTTAAGTGCAGAAGAAGATCATGGTACCTTTTCAAATATGCCTGTCTTTATGAATAGTGGCTCAGAGCAGCTAATGGATTTCTGTAGATAATGGTTTTCATAGATTTGTCAGGACTGCTCTTAATTACGGATATTTTTTGCACCATTAAACAGCCCCCTCCTGGGCATTAGCTTCATCCAGCAGCAAATGCTTTTCAGTTAAATAGCATGTATTCATAGGCACAGATGGGTTAAAATCCTTGAGAAAGAGAGATAATATATAATTATAGATGATATCCAATTCACATCCTTGAAAGCATTTTTTCAAATAAAGAAATCCAGTGAGCAAATATTTTATACATTTTTTTAAAAAAATAAACCTCATAGTGTTGCCTAAAGCACCCACAGTATTTGCTATCTCTGATTTAGAGAGGCCCAGTAACACGATCTTATGAGTGAGTTATTCATTTAGTTATCACTAAAATGATCAGAAAATCATATGGTATTAATTACAAAAATTATCTCAATTTCTGCTATTTTGAACCAGTGAGGAGAAACTGTGATAAAATGCACAAACGAGGGTGAGATAGACACACTCAGCATTTAAACCTAGACCTTAAAATGAGAGATAAAATTCAATTCTGTAAATATATGTTGTCCTCTACAGAAGTGAAAGCAGTAAACACAGTCCAGGGTACAAGCAGACAAATGTAATCACAATCCTCAGTGTGATTTTTAATTGTTATTGCCCTGGACCAACATGCCAAGTTTCAAATAGATGTTTTAATTGCTTTGATTTCTTAAGAAAGTTCAAGTTTTCCTACAGGTTATTTTGGAGAAGTAGAAGAAAGAAATGGTTTCAGAGCAATGGTTTGGATCATCAAGGGTATCAAAGATTTATTCATTTTTAATATTGAGAATATTTTTGGGAAAGACAGAATGGAGCTATGGGGTCCTTGGCAATAACCAAGCTCAGAGACCACCAAGGACCCCACAATTCAACCCTGAGCTACAAATATTTTCTTCTATTGGTAGAGTGAAACTAATTCAAGGGTTTGAGAGGAAAGCAAATGGACAGATTCAGAGGTGGGTTGCTCCCGGTTCGGCCCAGTTTGGCTGAACTGGTAATGGCGGTGGAGGGAGGCTCTGGCCACCTGCCTGGCCATGTGCACGAGCAAACTGGTAGTAAAACAAGTATAAACCCACTACTGGACAGGTTTCAGAGCTGGTCAGATTGCAAGGGAAAACAGCATCAGAAAATCAGGGGAGTAGCACTACACAAGAACAGTTTGGGAATAGACTCACATAGAAAAATCTAAAATGGGAAGAAGCAACTAAAGAATATCAAACACAGAGTAGCTGCTGAGAACAGGGAGCAACATTACAGGAAATACTGAAAGGGGCTAATTCCAGTTAGAACAAAAAGTGAGATTAACTGTAAGGAATATCTCTTCTTGCCTGCTAAAACAAGTGCAAGAGGACTGCAAAAGATGGAAGAGGGGTTTCTCTCTTGGGAACATTTGAGGAGAGTCTTTTCTCTCTCTCTAATAGTTTATTTTATAATCTTATGTCAGAGTTTTGGCAGTGTGACTATTATTATGAGATAAACTAAGGAGCAAAACAGAGCCCAGAGCACACAGAGCCTTTGTACAGTTAATAGTGGTTTATATATACAGACATATACATGGTAGATAAATTCCTTACCACTCAGCTACAGACACAAGGAGAGAAATGAGATACATGACGAGAGGGGGGAGGGAGAGGGAGGAAGGGAGAGGGGGGGGACGCCCTCTAATGACCACCTATATATAAACACCTCTTCAAGGGGTAAATGACTTGTGTGGACCCATCAGAGTTTTAAAGAGGTGATACCATATATTGCTGAATCATCATTGCATCAGCCAATAGATTACAGATTACAACCTTAAATCAGCTGGCAGCTATTAAATACTCATTACCTGATATCTTATTTTCTTTCTCTAATAATTTAATGCATACAATATATGAAACATAGTTCCATGGTTCTGTCTGTGGTCTATGCAACTTTCAGAGTTATCTTTCATTAAGGTTCCAGTGTTTTTGTGACAAAATGATAGATTCTCTCAACAGGCCTTATTGAGGTAACTGAACAAATAAGTAGGATATAATTGTTCAACTCTTTGAATGAAAAAGGACAGATACA